AGTCACAAATTAAAAATATATGTATATGTACTACATGTACGAGTATATTATAATATATATAATGGGTAATAATTGTCTGGGGCTGAACATTCAAGACTTCTATCTCTCTCTCGCTCTCTCATTCACTCTGGCTCTCTACTCCTCTTGAATTAAAAGAACTTTTGAAATTCGAGTTTGCATTGAGTGATTTCAAAGATTGTGAAATGGATTGAATTGGCTGAACTTGAATAGAGGCAAATATGATTTGTCGTAAATATATAGTTTATATATTTATAGCAAGATTATAGAATATTAATGTTTAAGAATCTGTCTTATTAAAGGGCAGTAAAATATTTCTAAATAAAGTTTCACAACTAAATGTAATGTCAAAAATATAGGCGATAGAATTTAGAAAGAATAAAGATAGAGATAAAGATAAAGGATCATGCAATCCTTATTAAGTGACAGGGTATTATACAAAACAACATATCCACCAAGAGAATCAAACTCCTATAAAAAGAAATAATTGAAACTTGCTGAAAATAGTAAAACGAATATACGCTTTAGTTACTTACAGGGTATTATTCTGTCAGTATACCAAGAACAAATAATATTCCTCATTTTTAGATTGATCTAGAAGCCAGAGCATCAATGAAAGCTTGTAAAAAGACAGAAACAAAAAATTACAGGGTATATCTGGTATATCCAACATAATTCAAGATTTAAGCTGTTAAAAATTCTTGTAGAGAGAGAGAGAGAGAGAGACAGAGAAAAAATACAGACGATTTGTTGACTTACAGGGTATACGAAAAACACATTTAAAAACCGAATGCTTGTTAAATGTGCAAAACCGATATGCCCTCATTCGCTCACAGGATATGATGCAATCAGTATGCGAAGCAACCTCAAATTGACGTGAAACATTAAATAGAAGTCGAACGTCAGCACGGGGACAATTTAAATCAAAGAGGAGAAATCAGTAAAAAAAAATATATATATATATATATATTATACAGACACATTTATATACATACTATAAATTTAATACTAAAGAGCGATTTATCAGCAGAAATTGTTTTTTATCTCGCAGCTCAATTGATTTACATAATCAGCGAACACGCGTTTCATTTTGCTGGCTTAACTTTATTCACTCTCACTCTTCCGCTCCCCCTCTCTCTCTCTCACACAGGCACTGCTTTGTCTCTTTCTAGCTCTTGTTGTTAAGCTCTGTGCATTTAATTGAATGCTGATTAAGTTTTTATTCAATGAACCAAAATGCACACACAAAAGTCTCTACATAATGTGTGGCATACACTACATGCGTAAATGCACACACACACACACACAGAGAGGCACAAATATATATAGTATATATATTCATAGATTAGTCATTGATATGGACAATGTGTTCCCATTCGACTTGTGGCACATTTCCAAACGTGAATAATTTAATAATGCCTCATTAGGTTAATGAATTTTGTTCTACTCGACAGCTGATTGATTGAACGCCCCGATGTAGTACACTAAATATTTGGATATACCTTCTATACCGATGTAGTACACTAAATATTTGGATATACCTTCTATTGACATTAAACATGCCTACAAACTAGAAGTAAAATTATCTATGTAAAACCTTTAAACTCTTCAAAGATCCGAAAAGGCTTTGCTTAACGAATCTTAAAGTGAACTCTATATACGAAAAGGGATCTTCACTAAACAGATATATATATGGCAAATATTGATTCGATGATATTGATAATAATATTTTATAAGATATCTGCGTATACATATATGATTTTTATGGTATAGTAATTGAAAGGCGACTTTAAACGCTCCGAAAATTCGAAAAGGCTTTGGTTAAAGAGATCCTTTATATATCAAATATTGATTGGTTGATATGATAATATATACATTATATATACATATACATATATGATGTTTATATACGATATATCACATAGAGATCTACATGAAACTGTTGTGCAAGGCAGAAGGAATGTTGTTGTTGGGCGTGACCGACTGTCTAATGTTGGTTCATGGTCAAAAATCGATATTGTTTACGACATTCCTCACCTATCAAACCATTTAATGTCAATCTCTAAGTGTGAAGTAGGCGATTCAGTTGACTAACTTAGCGATCTTATCGCCACTACACTGTACAAAATACAGTTTTGTTCGATTTGCCACGCCTACAATAGGCACGGAGGTATACTACTACGACACAATTATAGGCTGTAAGAGATTTAGGACCTTCCCATTTACCACGCCTTATAAAAATTACAATAATAAAATAATAAAAAAAATTATTGTAAGCATATAATAATCAAATAGTAAAAATAAATAATAAGTATTGAATAATGAATAATAGTAATATGAATACATATATTATAAATAAGTATCATAATTAAATACAACAAACTAATATCAATATTATCTAATAAAATTTCAATATATTTTTATATTCGCTCTTTAACGTGTTTTAAGCAACAACAACAAATGCTGAGCCTCAGCTCTCTAAACGAGTTCTTTAATAATTAATTATAATGGTATTATCATCCGAATTTGTCAATAAATTTATTATATTATTTTTTATTGTGACTTCCAGAAGCCATTATAACTTAAGATAAGTTAAATGTGCGCAAGTCAATAGAAATATCAACGGTTTAACCGGGACCCGAGGCGAGATCTGAAATTTGTTTTGTTTCATTTTTCTTTCGTTTCTCTGAATTACAAATTGAGAATTATACGTCGCATATTTAATGAGTAGATTTATTTAATCGAAAACCGAATATAAAAACCCGTTCGCCTCAGAGAGCACGAAATGAGATCGTATGACAGAATCGATCGATATAGGCGTGGGAATAACAGAGCCAAAGTGGGAATGAGCTCAGCTATCGCTTAGTCGCTTCCGCTAATGCAAATCGCTCCAACTAAATACCATGATAGCTGTGCTTAATTATGCAGTAGAATAAGACGAAGAAGAAGAGTCTAAGCAGCTGCTTGAGCTGGGAAAATTGTGGCAGGGAAATGCAGTTTCCCATGGCCTATGCGATTTCACACTTTTGGCCAATAAATTCGCAAGAGAAACATACATATATATACACGTGTATATTTGTGTTATTGTGGACTACTCTAAACAGAAGCGTGGCTAATGAGGCAACCCCCGCACGCAACATGTGTAAGGAAAACCTCAAAGAAAACCCATAAATAAGGCTGCAAATCTGCAAGGAAAATGTGTCAAAACTAAACAAAACCCGGGAATATTACGACATACCGAATCTCTCCACATCTCATGCGCTCTCTCTCTCTCTCTCTCTCTCTCTCTGTCTCTTTCTCTCCCTCTCACTCAGTCAGCCTCTGCTCGTTAGAGATGTAGCTAAAATCGATGCTCGTGCTACCTGCTCGACTGCTACCTGCAGCTAATGGCCAATGGCTAATGGCTAATGGCTAATGGCCATTGCCGACATAAATCCATAAAAACCAGCAACAACAACAAGAGAACTGAAAGAAAATAATTAAATTGCAATTATGTGCAAACAATTCGAAATCCGGAGATTCGGAAAAAGTTAATTACACGATAATAAAGAGCAGAAGTCCCAGCCGCAGACACCTCGTACTCATACTCAGACTCTCCACTCAGCTCACCTGGCTTACACCCATGTATTCCCTACATCCGCACTCGCCCTCTCTCTCTGTCTCTCTTTCATGCTGTGCCGTGCTGTGCTTTTCGCATTTTTGCTCTTTGGGCCGAGTCTCTGGACTTAAGCTGACATTAATGTGCATTTGGCTGTGGCTTCTGCTCGGCTCTCTGGGTCGGGCTTAATCGGGTTTGTTTGACTGATTCCTGGTGACATGTCATCTACATTATCATTAACGTCTGCATCACCCTCTCACTCTGTCTCTCACTCCCTCTCTCTCTTTTCCTCTCTCGGCTTGATCAGCATTTAACATTCAGCGATTGCCTAGACGATTAGCCGAGCCCTCGTCTAATGAAGACGGACAAACAAATTAGCCTTTGGTCTCGATTCGCATTAGCGTCTCGCCTTCACGTTCAAGCAGACAGAGACACGCGTCGCAGACATGATTGCATTTCAATGCGGCGGGCTTAGCTCACAAAAAAAAGAAGAAGAAGTATTAGTCATAATCGTTAGTTATCGTGACTAAGGTAAGGCTTTGGCTAATTTCGTCTGCGAGCCCGGAAAATGAGCGAGTTAATTATTTAATTTTAAAGATTTGCGTGGAATTTGCTTTACGGGCAGAGCTCTGCGTAACTGGAAATTGTGAATCACGAATTGCAAGTTAAAAAGGGCTAGATGATCTCATGAGTTTGGCTGTCTGCGCTATTAACTCGAAACCCCAACGACGAGAGGTCTAACTCGATAATTTCCTTTAAAGCTGTCAGCGGATCTAGAACTAGGGAACTCAGGGAAAGTACTCTTCTGATAAAAAATTAATAGGTGGTCCAAGAAATAATTCAAGTACATACATGTGTAATATACAGAACTCATAAAGTCAGACATTGGGTGAATTGATTTATAATGGCCTTCCAGGCCTATGCGAGATAATTTCAGTACCCCCATCTACCATAATGAGACCTATTTGAACTTATCTCTCCGTGCCTTTGTCGCTCGAGAAACGGACGGATAGAGATAAATAGGGAATACGTGCGGAATAAGGCTAGGTAGAACAGATAAGGGTAGAGAGAGGAAGAGAATAGAGATGGAAGCGGAAATTGAGATAGATAGACATAGAGCGAGAGAAAGAGAGAGAAAGGGGAGGGAGAGGAGAGAGACCTACAGACAGAGGGGAGAGAGAGAACGAAATAGATAGATAGAAAAATCGAGAGAAAGAGAGGAAAACATAAAGAGATAAATAGGGAAATGAAAATATAGAGATATGGTAGAAGAGGAAGATTGAGAGATAGATTGAGACATTTAGAGAGATATTGTGAAAGTGAGAGAGAAATACAGAAAGGCAGTCATAGAGAGAGAGAGAGAGAGAGAGAGAGAGAGAGAGAGGTAGAGGGAGAGATAGGAGGAGGTATGGATAACCAGATTGAAAAAGAGAGACAGATATATAGGGACATTGTTGGGTGAGAATACAAGCAATGGTAAATAGCAATTCGCACATCATGAAGAAATTAAAATGCCTATGTAAATAGATTTGTGTATTTCAAGAAAAAATCTTATGGAAAGCATCTATATCTGGAAGACGAAGATTTACTTCAAATGTTTTTTCCTGCCTCTCTTCATCATGCTAATTGCATTCAGTTGTCTCTGAGCTTTTGCCCGCCCTGAATGTCCAGAAAATTCTCTAAAATTCGTACAAAATTGAATTCAAATTCCAAAAATCAATTACCCCAGCTTAGCATTTAGTCCTTAATTAGATCACGTGGAATTAAGTTAAAATGTTACTAAAGCAGGTCAACTGCCTGGCCGCCTGACCGCCTGGCCGGCTGACCGACTGCGCCGTTGGCCGGACTGAGTGACAGCTGGGGTTCAGGCGAGCTTAATTAGATCTGCATACCAAATGTGGCATGCAACACGGGCTTGCCCCGGAACAGGAGGCGCACGGGAACAGCGAAAGGAGTTCAGAAAGCCCAAAAGTGCTGAGCTGCGAACATGCACTGCTTGGCACTGCTCTCCGCGTGTCTGTCCCTGGCCACGGCTGCCAACTGGAGGGAGATGGCGAGTCCCAGTCCGAGTCCGTCCACTGTGGACAGCTACCAGGCCGAGCTGAAGCAGCTGCTGGAGCGGATGCTGTGGCGGGCGCAGGTGCAGCGCTGCTTTGCCGTCATCACGGACGACCTGCATCTCGCCCTCTACGATCGTAGGTACTTCGAGGCGGCGGGACGGAGTCCTCGACCCTTCTATGTACTGCGAGTGAATGCGAGCGAGAGCCTGAATGAGCCACCCCGCCACTTGGAGCTCCTGCTGCAGTCCGTCAAGGCCAGCGACTGCGACCTGGTCGTGCTGACCCTGCTCAACGGCTGGCAGGCGAAGCAGCTGATGAGGTTCCTCTACGTGAGTCGCGCCCTGGACATGCAGAGCAAGTTCATCCTGCTGCACGACGTGCGCCTCTTCGCCGAGGACATGCTGCACGTGTGGAGCGTCTGCGTCAACGCCGTCTTCCTGCGCAGGCAGCAGGACAACAGGTGAGTCGTCGCAGCACTCGAGATTGACTGACTCACAGATACCACGCACATCAGCAGCTACAGCATCTCAACCATCGCCTTTCCCGGCATCCTGAATGGCGTTGTCGTGGTCAAGCAGCTGGCCACCTGGGAGGTGGGCAAGCGCATTGATTCAGCAATCGTCTTCAAGGATAAGACAAGGAATTTACAAGGTGAGCGAGAGATGTTTAGAAATCGTAGTATAATCAGTATCTAACATTTAGTTGATGAGAAATAGATAGATTAGAGAGCTACAACCTAGTTAGAGATATTTTCTTTATGTAGAACAGCAGTAAAAAGGTTTGACAATTGAAAGTTTAAACAGTTTTATCTCATCAAAGAAAACTCCGATTAGAATTAAATCAGTTTTGATATATTAAATTGAAATATAAAAATTCAACAAATAAAATAAAATATAATATATTAAAATCAATAAAATATTCCAGTCTGCAAATTTTTATGTTGTATGATATTTATTTTATTTAATTATTTAATTGTTTAAGATGTTTAAAATTTAAATCGTTAAAGATAGAAAACAGACGGACATACTCATCGGGCTTATAGAGAATATATTTTTGATGGGTATATTACGCCTAGTTATGCTGTTACTTATTTTGCTTTACATATTTCTGTATTTAATGATTTTAAGGCATAAAATCCGCGCTTCAAATAGTATTTTTCCGTCTCTTTGAATAGATTATTGCTGATCTGAAAAATAACTGCTATATATATGTATATCTACTTTCTTTAAATTTCATATTTTTGAATTGTAAATAAAAATGATTAATAACTTATTAATATTAATAATATGTACAACGATTTAATTGTTTACTATAATTTATATTATATTCATTTATATTATATTACAATATTAATAATATTGGGTAGTCGGAAAAGTCTTTTCGGAAAAGTTTTGTCGTTTGGGTTTATTATAAATATTAAAAAATATGATTTGAAGTTTCATTACAAATACGAAAAGACTTTTCCGACTACCCAATGTTTATATTATTTATTATTTTTCACAATAATTTTTATATTATATCAATATTAATTTATATTTATTTAGCTGAAAATACCACACATATTTCAGTGACCAAGAAAAAAGTGCCTTTTTATAACAGTTTTCATAAAATGAATAAAAAAACTGCTATTTTGTAAAATTAAAATTTTTATGTTTTGTATACGTGAAGAGTCATCAAATGTCGAACATTTTTGTATATCCACTTTTTTAAAGTTGCTTTCCAAATAAAAGTTAAAAAGCATATATTAACGAAAGTACGAGTGCGTCTAACCCAAGACCAGCAGTGTATACGTATTTCTCTGAATTTCTTGCATGAACTACTTTAAAAATGTAATTTTTGATATCTTTAAAATTTGTACCTTCAGGTGCTGAGCTCCCGGTGGCCATAGCTGAGCACGTGCCGATGGTGTATTGGAATAGGCCCACGAATCGCTATAAAGGCGTCGAGATTGGCATCGTGAAGGCCCTGGCCAAGGCGCTCAACTTTGAGCCGGTGTACTACGCCGTAAACGAGACTGAGGCGGGGGAATGGGAGCAGTCAGCGCACTCGAACGAGACCCACTTGGAGAAGGGTCTAATTGGAGAGCTGGTAATATGCAAGGCACACATCAGTGAGCAAATAATCCAATGAACGGCTCTAAGCAGGTGCGTCACCAGGCGCGCATTGGCATTGGGGATCTGCACACGTTCCAGAGCTACGTGCAGCATGTGGAGCTGAGCGCGCCACACAGCGTGGAGTGCCTGACATTCCTCACACCCGAGTCGTCGGCAGACGAGTCCTGGCAGACCTTCATACTGCCCTTCAGCGGCGGCATGTGGGCAGGTGTGCTGCTCTCCCTAGTCGTCGTCGGCAGCATCTTCTACCTGATCAGCTACTTCAATGCGCTGCTCACCTCCAGCAGCCAGGTGTCGTTCTTTCGCTGCCTGCGCCGCAAGCGAGTCGCCAAGCGGGATCCCCTCTCCTGGCGGCGCTTGAGCTTTCGCATCACTCTGGGTCGCGCTCGGCTCACGGATGCTCCACATCGCGACATCTTCGACGACTACTCCAACTGCATCCTGCTCACCTACAGCATGCTGCTCTACGTGGCTCTGCCCCGCATGCCCCGCAACTGGCCTCTGCGCGTGCTTACGGGCTGGTACTGGATCTACTGCATCCTCCTGGTGGCCACCTATAGGGCGAGCTTCACAGCCATCTTGGCTAACCCAGCAGCCAGGTGAGCGTCGCACCTGTCCCTATTTCTGGCATTCATTCATTCATTTATAAACTCCTCCTGCCTCAGCATCACCATAGACACGCTCAAGGACCTCAGTCGCGCTCGCATCCCACCCACAACCGGAGCTGTGGAGAATAAGCAGTTTTTCGTCGAGTCCAGCGACGATGCGGCTCGCGAGGTGGGCGCACGCATGGAAATAGTAAATAATACGGATGACTTGGTGGGTTCAATAGGGATTTCCATTACACAGTTCTATATATAGACTCTCGACTCTCGACTCTCCTCCCACGTCAGACCAAACGCATCGCACGTGGTCAGTGCGCCTACTACGACAACGAGTACTACTTGAGGTATCTGCGCACGTCGGGTGCTGCTAAGGGCGTGGCCACGGGCGCTTTGCACATCATGAGGGAGTGCGTTGTCCACATGCCCGTTGTCCTCGCTCTCGAGAAGAACTCGGCGCTGAAGCCGCATGTGAACAACATAATACAGCATTTGTGTGAGGCAGGTGGGTGCCACGGAAATCTTGACCAGCTTTCAAGCATTCCAATTTCTCCATCTTTCTGATAGCTATCTTTATCTCTTCCGTCAATTTGAATTGCATCTGTACTCCTTCCTTCTGTCCCCACACTGAGTCTCTACTTATTTGTCTCTCTGTTTTACTCTTCATCTGAGGTACTCTCTCTCTCTCCCTCGCTTTCTTTCCTCTCTACATTTTTATCTATTGGTCTCTTCCTTTTATTTTACTGTCTCTTATTCTCTTTCCTTCACAAGTCTCCTTCACACGCAATTTTCCTCTCTAGCTATATTTTTACATATTCGATATCTGTACCTCTCACTCACTGTCTCCCTCTCTCTCTCTCTCTCTCTCTATCTTTACCTTTCACTATCTCACAATAATATCTCATTCTTTCTCTTCATATCACTATCTCTCTCACGTTCTCCCTCTCGCTCTCTCTTTCTCTCTTTCTCTCTCTATATATATATATATACTTCTCTCTCTCTCGATACTCTGTGTATCTCTCACCCTCTCCAGGTCTCATCTCTAAGTGGCTGCGAGACGCCATCATTCGTCTGCCCGCCGAGGAGCGAGCACCTCAGGAGGCGCTAATGAATCTGCATAAGTTCTGGAGCTCCTTCGTGGCTCTGGGCATCGGATACCTGCTCTCCATTGCCGTGCTGCTCGTGGAGCAGTGGCACTTCAGGCACGTCGTGATGCAGCATCCCATATACAACGCTCACAATCCCAGTCTATACTATAACTTCAGGCGGCTCTATCCAGATGAATAGCACAACGCAGTGCGGAAGATTGATGGCGACTTGTTTCGGAATTTCTACAGCATCCAAATATATATAAACGTATATAGATACTCATATTTATATATTTAGCAATTAGAAACATATTGTTCTGTGCACTCATAAAAAGAATTGACAAATGTTTTGTTTTGCTGTTGGCCGTTGGCCGTTGCCCGTTGGCCATTGAGAGCTGACGCAATCGATGGGATGGATGGATACCCTTGGATAGCATCGACATGCCATATAATACCATATATCAAATCGGTTTAAGTGGCCTCAAGTACCAAGTGCAGCAATGTGGTTCATAAATTCCGAGACGATTCAATTCGTTCCCTCGCATTTCGTAAATAATAATTCGCATCGAAGCACATTAAGCATTATTTGTTTATTGGCCAACAGTAAGTCCATCCGAATGCTAAATACTCGTAAATAATTCCATTCCATTCCATTCGATGCCCAATTGCCAGACTAAACACTCAGAGCCAAGAAAGCGATATCATTAACATTTCAATAGAAGCGCTTAACTCTGCCCAAATCACTCGAGAGCTACTAAGAAACCAAGAATTATTTTTATTCATTATTGCTATAATAGATATGACCAGGAAAAATACTCGAAGAAAGGCGGGGCTGTAACTCCCTGTGTTTAATATAATATTAATATACATATATAAAATTCATGTATGTGCACAGATATATCTTATCAAAATTGAAATAATATAAAAAATATAATGAAATAATAAAATTCAAATATTTTATTATATATCTATAATATATATCCGTAACCATAAATAAATAAAATGAAATAAATAGTCAATTTCACGAATAGTATTTAAACAAAAAATTGAAAATTTTCAAGAATTTTCGAAAATATTTTCATATCTCTCAAGTGGTGTCTTAATTTGATGTCTATTCATCTGTTGGCTTGAGCTCAAGTTATTTCAATTTTATACTATTGATGAGAATATATCGATGCATCGACAAAGTGTTTTATTATTATTATTTTTGTTTGTTCCATTTTAGTTTTTAGTTTTAACATTTTTTTTTTTAAATAATAACTGCTTCATCTACAAAAAAAAAAAGAAAAGTACTAATAATATGAAAAAGTTAATTATTTTATCAATGGCCTTGATTGGCTAAAATCTATATAATATATATATAATTTTCAACTCTTTTCAATTGAGACTATTATTTGGTATTCACAGTTTAATATATGAATTTATATTCCTATTCAGTTTGGGATTCATAAATAAATTAAATTTAAACTTTAAATAACGATATTTGATATATGAAACATGACCATTATTTAATATTATATATTGTTAAATAAATAAAAGAAAGAGAATATTTATACTCTTAAGAATTTAGAGAGAGATTTTTTACCTTGACTACAAATTATATGATATACAAATTTACGACTACTTTTACTGATGGAATGCGGATTGCTGGTAGGGGTAGTAAATCGGAAATGAGTTTAACATTTGCTTTATCGCAAATGTAGGCTAAGGTATTTCGCGCTTTTGTTTGTGAACCGTTTCAGAATACAAATAAGATCTGAAATTACCAAATTTCAAATGAAATCCGATTAGCGTCAAATGGGTTATGCTTTATTTATGATTAATAAACAGCTTCCAAGGAACGCTTATCAAAAGCCAAAGATTTCACGGAACTGTATTGTTTATTCATATGATATGCCAAAAAGAACCGAAAGGCAAATGTTTTCATCCGTCGGCTGTTGGATGTATATTAAATATTATTCATAATCTGCATTGTTTTGTTTAACTTTAGCTGTGTTTAGCTGCTCTTACTGCATAAAATTTAATTAATTCATTTAGCAGACGAATTGCATAACAACAACAAGAGCAGCAATAGAAGCAGCAATAGAAGCAACAACAACAACAATGCGATTTCATTATTATTCGTTCATTTCTGGCATTTTTTCTCAGCTTGTTTTGTAATTTCTTTTGATAAATATTTATGGCTCTTTCATTTGTTTTCTTTCGTCTCAGTTGCTGTTGTTGTTGTTGTTGCTGGGGTTCCTTTGTTTACAATTCTATTTTATTTAATTTAATTAGTTTAGCTTTATTTTACAATGCTTTGCTTCAGCTGCCCTGCCTCCCACTGCTCATCCACTTTCAATTTCCACTTCATAAAATTGCGCATTCCTTACACTGTCCTACACACACACACACACACACACACACATGCACATGCAGATAAATACATAAATTCTTGCTGTTCATTTTGTTTAGTGTTTTCTTGTTGCTGCTGCTGTTGCTATACACATTACATAAAATCTCTAATTGGCATTTCCGCTGCAAGCAGCCAACTCAGCTGCTGCTCCAATTGGAAAAGGCAAAGAATAAACTTTGTTTGCATTGTTCTGCTTGACTCAAATGAAGTCAAATATTTCTCAATTACGTAAATTTGGTAAAATATTATGAAAACACAACATTTATTAAATATAATAAATCTGCTACATTTTCAAGGTTTCTATCGAACAGCTTAAAAGTATGCTACATTTTTGTTTACCGAAATTCCCAGAATTCCCATTTAAATGCTAATCAGAGAAACATTGTATGTAAGTTTTAGTAAAACTCTTTGTTTATTGTACATTAAATCATAAAGTTTATTTTGCCTTTAGAAATAAAACAACAGTAAACAAATTGCACAATATTACATTGTTTGAATATTACAAAATTTTCACAGTTCAAATTAATTTGAATTTTCAAATATTTTGCATATATAAATATACATTTTTAAAATAATTAAAAACCATGGACACCGACACCATTACGTATTATATAGTATGTATGTATTTGTATATAGTTCTAATAATCTATGCATTTAATCGTATTCAGTTGGTTCGGCCATCAGGCAGCGTCGGCTGAATAAACTTTAATAAAACGTTCTTAAACAAGTTAAAAGCAAATACCACATGACTAAATTCTACGCATATAAAACTATATATACCTATATATATATATGTATTTATTTGTATTTTCATATAGGCTTCTTTCTGCGTTTATTCATCTTTTTGTGTACGCATACAAAATCTACAAACAATTCGTTTTCTTATAAGTTTTATTCAATTTGCTGAGGCGTAGAAATCGCGTAAATCCGGAACTTCTTCAGTTTTTAGCACAGTTTTACTTTGTTTTTAGTGAATCAATTCCTTATTTTTAGAATATCATATCTAGCACTTGTTCAGCACGGATTTACCAGCGATTTGAGTATCTTATAGTTGTTGAACATAGTTTTTCATTTGTATAGACTTAGTATATAACTGAAGATCAACGGTAAGTCTGTCGAAGTCTATAAACTAATACATATTATATATATATATTTCATTTAAAACGTTTAGCAGCTGCTTTTAAAATATATTTTCTGTTAAGTTCTATTTCAGTTATGGCGTTTTCTGGACAGCATCGTAAATAATATTCATCGTGCAAAGTATTCACTCAGTTTATTCAAGACATTCAATTGCCTTACTTCAGTTTATGTAAATCAAATATCATGTTAGATGTGATATAGGAAAAGATTAATAACTAAATCGCATTGCGCTCGCCGTTATACAATATATAGTTTTATATTTATATATATATATAGACTGCTTTAATATATATATTTATCACTGTTGCTGGTTTAACTTGATGCTGTTGTTGCCGACTGGCCTAAGCTGTGGCCTCCGCCGTTTCCGCCTCGAACACCTCATCGGACTCCTGGCCAGCCGCGTATTCCTCCCGTTCCTGCTCGGGATCCTCCCCATCCACGTCGTCCTCTTCGTAGTCCTCGGGATACTCGCCGAACTCTGAGGACTCACCAAGCGTCCAGGCATCGTTTTCCATTGAATTTCTTGGGCTGTAGTTTATGCTGCCCGTGATGGTCAGATTGTTGGCCGGACGAAGGACACTGAGAGAGCGAGAGCCAAGCGCATGGGCAGGAGTAGACAAATTGAGATTATGATTAGATATCGATAAGGCAGAGTAGATCATATCAGTTGAATGTATTCAATGAGTGTAGCGAATACAAAACAAGTGCTAAACTAGCGACTAACTAAGCTTTTTAATAGTTGTCTTATATAGTATATGTGTGTGTGAATGTTGTATTAGTTTGAGGTATCATTAGGATTATTAAAGGTAACGAGAACACGAATTAGTTTTCAAGACAAGGCAAACATTTGTACAGCTAACGAACAGTTGTTAGATTTGTTATGGAGTTAGTTGACTGCTAGCCAAATGCAATATGAATATGATATACTAAATACGTTAGATTGGCCCAGCTAACACAAGGCTAATTTTGATTGGCTGTCCTACAAAATTTACGACATTTCCGACAATTGCACAAATCGATTGCGAGCAGGAATATATAACATATCTCTATATATATATATAGCAACGTATAAAATGAGTTTAATGCAAACAGATAACAAACAGTAACGAGCAACTAGCAACGAGTAACGATTAACGAGTAACGGGCAACGGGCAACGAGTAGCGAGTGGCAAGTGGCGAGTGGCGAGTAGCAAGTGGCATTGGGGCAACTTCTCTATTACATTGGCAAACTCGTTGGAACTGTGCAGCAATTCGTTGTCGCTGTCGCTGTCGTTGGATTAGATAGATTCGTAAATGTACAAACGAGTTATAATCCGTATAAGAATTCGTTGCTTGGTTTCGAATTGATACTAGAACCGGGCTCTAGTAACACAATCAAGATTAATTACGTAGGAATTCGCTGTGGTCGGCTCTGCTTGCACCATATTAAATGTAGTGTATAAGAAGAGATGTGTGTGTGTGTGTGTGTCCGGTGTGTTTGCGTGTGTGTGGAAAGATAGTAGTCGAATGTTGTGGTGTTGGTGTATCTTGGTTACAGATCGGTCACTAGCACACCATCCGTTGGTCATAACAGTCCACGGCGATAGTGTGAGCGTGATGGTCTACAGAGATAGCAAAGAGGCGGTTTGCGTAGGTTTGTTTAGGTGTGGTTGGTTGGTGTACAGAAATTAAAAGAAAAAGAAAATAATTAGCAAAATTATAACATAAATAGGGATTATACATTGTTTTTAACTAAATGTCCTACAATTTTGAGAGACTAATTAGATATTTGGAGAATAGTATATATAAATACATTATGCAAT